AATTTTTTTAAATTTAAATTTTAATTTTAAAAATCTTTTAATTTTATTTTTTATCACAATATGAGGTTATTGGATTGTTCTTGCGTTCTCGTAAATCACAGGGGTTCTCGTTTGAACCCTTCCCATATAATATATATATATATATATATATATATACTTGGGATCATGTAAGACCAAAAGTTTTTCGTGAGACCCGTAAGACCAATTCTCAACTCTTCGATTAGATCTATAATTTAACAATCTGAACATTCATAAACGTCACGAGACTTCTCAATAATCACAAAATTGTCATAATGCAACTTTAAACCATTAGATCATTAGCTTATAAAGTTGATTAATGAACATAAATTAGACTTACGAGTTTTACGAAAAACCTTTGGTCTTACATGAACCCAACTCTCTCTCTCTATATATATATATGTAACTCATATTAGACTTGAGATCATTTAAAACCAACATGTTTTTGTAAAACCCATAAAATCATCTAAATAACACTAAAACTTTACAATGACATTATAAAAATAAACCTTCACAATTATTTACTTATTTTATTGTGAAGGTTCAATTATCTTTTATACCATTACAATGTTTACCGTAAATATTCAATATTATTTTGTGATTTCATGAAAACTAAATTGATCCAACCCACCCACTCTAACATACATAAGGACCCATAAAATAGTTTCTTATAAAAAGTCAGGTTATTATTATAAGCTGGTTTTTAACCTAGTGATATCTTAGTCTTTTGACTTCTCAGAAGGTTAAGGGTTCAAACCTCATCAAAAAGTTAAGACGATGATACAAGTTTATTTGTTGTATTTATCATATATATATATATATATATATATATATTATAATAAATAATAATTAGGAAAGAAAAATACAAAAAAGAGATGCTCAAAAGGTTTTTGGAATAAATGGCAAGTACATAGGTAGATCACAGTACTGTGCAGTACTGGTATTTAAGATCTTTTAGGGCACAGAAACTGCAGTTCAAATGTACGTTTTTACTGCACTTTTCAACTATCTTTTTGAGTCCAATCCCATGGTTTGTGTATTACACCATGAATTATAAACGAATCAAAATCATATACCAACATCCATCCATATAGATATACTAATATATATATATATATATATAATCACCATTAACGACAGCCATTGTCAAGCTTAATAACATAGATATGAATCTATGATCAACCCAACATAGAACTAGTTCTTGCCTTTTTGTTGAATCCAACACCGAGATTCAAATCAAGTTCTTGATTGATGGCATTGTTATGATGATTAACAGTTTCTTGATCATTCATCATCTTCGACTTCATCATCATCAGAGATGAATTGCTGAAGAGTTGATCCACTGAAGTCACTACATGGCATTTATTACTACTACTTCCACCTTTCTTTTTGGTTTCCACCGTTGCCGCCGCCGCCGCCGATGGGGGAAACACCGACGGTATCTCGAAGTTGGTCCTGGCTTTGGCTCCTCTCAGCCGTCTTGCGGCGGCGTCATATGCTCGTGCTGCTTCTTCCGCCGTGTCAAATGTTCCTAACCAGTGTCTGCACCGTCCGATTCTATCGCGTATCTCCGCCGACCACCGTCCCCATGGCCGCTTTCTCACTCCTCTGTAACTCTTCTCCGCCGCACCGCCACCGTTTTTGTCAGACCGGAGTGATTTTGATTGTTTGTTGTCTTCGTTTTCTGTTGCGATGAGTGTGGTTGTTGTTGAAGGTGCGGTTTTTCCGAAGAGAACATGTTCTCCGACGACGGCGGCTATGCCTTCAAGTGCAGTAGTAGGGTGGTTGTCGTGGTAATTTTCCGATGAGAAGTAGGTTTCCGGCGATTGGTTAGGATGGGAAAAAGATGGGGTTTGATAGTGTTGAAGAGCTTGGAAGTAGATGTTCATTGTTTCCAGAATTGAAGTTGAGTTGTAGGGTGGAATGGGAAAGAGAAGGGAGACAGCATATATATGGAGTTTGCATGGGGACTGACAAATGTCCTCATATCCCTCTGCCATATAATGTTATATATATATATATATATATATATATATATATATATATATAGGGATGTTATTCTACACCATTTGTCATTCCTATACTCTATACAATCTTCATCTCAACCATTCAATTTTTAATCAATTAATTGTTTCCTAATATAAAGTATTAATCATAATTAATAAACTCTATTCATATTCCATAAATATTCAAATCATAATAAATGAACTCCAATCATTTCTATAAATATCTCAATTAATTGGGTTGCAAAGGTTGTACAAATGCACAAGGTTGTA